GGGCTGACTTTGTGGTTCAGCCGAGTCCAGTAAGGTGAAGAGTCTTCTGGATGATTTCAGTGGCAAAAAGCCATTTATTTCCTTCTTTAGCTTTTGTAATAACAGGCCGTGCTTGTCTTGCCTAATACCCTTAGACCCTACTGCCGTGTTCTTCAACATGCAGTCATACAGACGCAATTCTGACTCTTCCTGTGCTGAACGTCCACTGAAATAACGTGCTGTATTGATCCAGTTCATGAGTGAGAAGTTCAATCTACACAAGCCTTATCTGTCTTGCTCTTTGCAGAATGGTTGCGTCAGCCTAACAAGCAGATCTTTCTGTCTCCATCCACTGCCACAAAGCTGTTGACTGAGGCTATCTGCCCAAGTCTGCTGGCTTCTCTAGCTCTTATCAGTAAACTTCTGTCTCGTTGTGATGTATCTACCACAGTTGCTTAGCCTTATTCAATCAGTATTGGAAGACAAGTGGAATAATCTTGCTTCTCAGGACATTTTTTGAATGGAAACTTGCCCTCTTAAATATGTACTGCCAAAATTTAGCCCTGCTGTCCCACGCAAAGGCTGTACATGACCTGGATATCTCCATGGGGCATGTCCTAACTATAATCATCATTTGCTCACGTGGATGTACGTGACAGATATTTGTCGCTGTGTGTGAAGAGAGAAGGGAGGAGAGCTATATGTTTTGTTTTTTTTTTTTACTCTGGAGAATGTTGGGCAGGTCCTGTTGTCAGCATTCCATACATCGCAGATGGCTGCCCACTAGCTTCGTGTTTCTGGAGCGTTCTGCTCATTGGAGCCCTCGCACGGGACTCTGGATCTTGTGCTTGAGTCTTGTCTGTTTCCCTGGTTTGGAAGATTCTCTTTTCTATCATAGAAAGCTCACAGAAGTTGGAGTCCAGCCCTGATATGGGCCTCTGGGCTCAAGCCTTTCTGACCATTTGCTGTTTTACCTAAGAAAAGTACTTATTTGATCTCTTCCCTTCCCTGTGGGCAGCCTTGATTTGTTTTAAATGAATCATCAGTCGTCTGTCCAAATCTCAGTGTATCTCAGTGTCTTCTAAAGACATTTGCCCTTAGAGTTGATGGCAGCCTTGGGCTGACATTATACATAAGTGAAACAATTTGACGGCAGCCTTGGGCTGACATTATACATAAGTGAAATAGAAAACGTGATCAAAATAAGAGCAAGAGAATATTCTTATGTCCCCTTTAAATCAGTGGCTCACACCCTTTTCTTTGTCCCCCAGTCAGCCAGGAGATGTTCTCTACTCCTTTCTGGTACGCTGTATAGGAGTCTGGTGGGAGTAGAAGGAGATGACTGAAGTTGGAAAATGCTTTCAATACCCCCTTTCTTTTTGGAGAATCACTGATTTATGAATATATCCTCCAGGGACCTGCCGCAGAGACACGGTCACAATCACGGAGGGTGTGACATGGTCAGAATCACACAGGGTCATTCATGACTCGGCAGATGTTTGTTAAGCACCTGTCCTGGGCTTGGGACTGTGTTAAGCACCAAGGGCGTATAAAGACAGATGGGAGGAGACCCTGGCCGGGGAGAGGAAGGAGCAGCTACGTCGGTACTAAGTGCCACTCGCTGTGAGTGTAAGACAGGAGGTCCTAAGTACCACACAGGGGTTACAGATAAAGAAGTCCTGGAGTTCAGAGGAAGGACTGATTGCTTCTCATAGAGAGGAGGGGATTGTGTAAGATTTCGGGGTGATTGTGGAACCGCCGCCTCCTCACACGTGAAGGAGGGCCCTGAGGACCCTGGAAAGTTGGGCGGGTTGCTCACAAATCGCCCTCCTGTCTCCTCCTCCCAGTGTCTCTTCAGGGTTTTGCTGTTCATTCGCAGGCTCAAAATTACTTCTCTTTTTTCCATTTGTATCCACTGAAGCAGTTTTTAAAAATAATGAAACTTTTTTATTGTGGTAAACTATATATAACATAAAATTTGTCATTCTGATCATTTTTAAGTATACTGTTACACAATGGTTGAAGTACATTCACAGTGTTGTATAACCATTACCACCATCTAGTTCCAGAATTTTTCGTCATCCCGAGTTGAAACTCTGTACCCGTTAAGCAATAAGGCTCATTCCTCCTCCCCCCGCCCAGCCCCCAGTAACCTCTCTGCTGCCTTCTGTCTCTGTAAATTTGCTGATTCTAGGTACCTCCTAGAAGTGAGATCATGCAATATTTGTCCTTTACTTCATCCATGTCGTGGCATGTATCCAGATTTCCTTCTTTTTAAAGGTTGGGTAATATTCCATTGTATAGACTACATTTTGTTGATCGATTCATCTGTTGTTGGAAATTTGGATTCGAATCCTGGGCTCTTAAAGCATTGTGCAGCTGGGCGCGGTGGCTCACACCTGTAATCCCAGCACTTTGGGAGGCCAAGGCGGGCAGATCATGAGGTCAGGAGATCAAGACCATCCTGGCTAACACAGTGAAACCCTGTCTCTACTAAAAATACAAGAAAAAAAAAAAATTAGCTGGGCGTAGTGGCGAGTACCTGTAGTCCCAGCTACTCGGGAGGCTGAGGCAGGAGAATGGCGTAAACTGGGGAGGCGGAGCTTGCAGTGAGCCGAGATCGCGCCACTGCACTCCAGCCTGGGCGACAGAGTGAGACTCCGTCTCAAAAAAAAAACAAAAAAAACAAAAAACTTTGTGCATCATGGCTGGTCATTATCCGTGTCACCTATGCCCTCTGTCTAGACTCGAACACCCACGCATGCCTGGGCTGATGTGCTTGGCTCTTGAGGTCCATGGGCTTTGGCTTCAGATCCAGGTAGTCATCCTGTTCTCGTGTGGAACAAGGGCAGGACATTTGACTCCTATAGTTTCCTGATCTTTGAGCTGAAGGCAGTAACAACCCCGTGCAGTAAGGCCTGTGACAAGCACGCATTTAGCCCTGTGCGCAGTCGCTTAGCACAGCGCCTGACACACGCCAAGTGCGTAAGCACAGTGGCTCCTTACAAAATCATAGCTAAGCCGATTTCCCCAAACATCTTCCTTCCCCTCTCTTATCCGCTTGAGCCCTATTGTTGGTTCCAGATTAATGTGCAAAAATGCGAGCCCTGAGGTCAGGAGGCACTTCTAGTAGCCTCGTCTCTGTCCCTGTAGCGTGAAGGATAGCTCATTTTCCTAGACGATGCTCATTCGTTGGGACCAGCTCAGCTGTGCCTTCTCCATGCAAGTCTCCCTGGAGAGAATGCTCCCTGTCAGAATTCCTTTTGCACTTACTGCTACTTTGTTATCCACTATTGTGTGTAGACATTTATGTTATGTCTTTTAATTCCAAGCCTCATTAGTGAGGTCTGCAAGTTTTTCCTCAGTTTATACCCCCATCTGAATATGAAACAATTCACCTGCCCCAATATAAGATGAAAGTGTCCCAAAATTCTCCTTCAGTCTTCCTATTTAAGTCTTACCAAAGCTGTTGTAGTATGAGGTGCTCTCAGCCCCTGTATTTGGAGCAGCCTCAGGGAGAGAGAAGGCACATTGTCCTGAAACCATCTCTGCCAGTCCTAGTCATGGGTCTTTGTACAGGTCAACTAGCTGAATTAGACTTTTTCTAAGGCAAATTTAATGCTAGCTGGGTAATTATTTCTTAGGGTTTGACCTTACAAAAGCAAATGTTGGTTGTTACTGTAAAAAGTACATTTAAAAATCCATTTAAAAAGCAATAGAGTATGAGGTTTAGATAGATAAATGTGGACCCATAGGACAAAATTTCTCCTGTTCTAATATCATTCAAATGTGTTCTTGTGACTTGGGAGGATTTTTTCACTAGTAGCACATATATGACTTCAAAAACTGCTTCAACTTGAACAATTTCAATGGAAGAGGAAAATGTGAACGTATGCCGCAGAAAACTGTTCGATGCTTCAAAAAGTGGCTGTAGAGATGCCCCAAACCCTATTTGAAGACGAGTGTTCAAAGAACTCAAAGAACATAGTAATGAAATGGGAATTTTTTTTTTTTTTTTGAGACGGAGTCTCACTCTGTTGCCCAGGCTGGAGTGCAGTGGCACGATCTCAGCTCACTGCAAGCTCCGCTTCCCTGGTTCACACCATTCTCCTGCCTCAGCCTCCCTAGTAGCTGGGACTACAGGCGCCCGCCACCACACCCAACTAATTTTTTTTTTGTATTTTTAGTAGAAACGGCGTTTCACCATGTTAGCCAGGATGGCCTTGATCTCCTGACCTCGTGATCCTCCCGCCTTGGCCTCCCAAAGTGCTGGGATTACAGGTGTGAGCCACTGTGCCTGGCCTAATGAAATGTGAATTTAAAACAGTATTTCTAAAGTAATTTAGTTCTTCATGTGACTTAAATATAGATGTAGTTTAATGAATACAGAAACTGCTATACGATATTTGACCCTGCATCCTAAAAATTTATCTGTTCAAATTCGACATGTTGTGTTTGAGATCTCTTTATTTTGGGGGGTATATATGATATTTGTGACCAATGTGAATGGTTGAGGTATGGTCCTCATTTTACTGGTTAACACTTAAAAGCTTTGTGTCTCACTCTGTCTCTGATAACTTTATAAGGGGATGGGCAGGGAGTGGTTTAAGTGTAGAGGTATTCAGCTGGACTTGATATTTCAATAAGATTTATAAAATCAGGGCATCCACTCTGTTTTTCCTTTTCAAGTCTTTTGGAAATTGAATTGGTGATCTATAAGATCACTTTAATGAAGATTGAGTGGGTTTAAGATTTATTATACTTAATTGGGAAGAAAAAGCCCCAAGGCAGTGGGGTGGGACTAGCTAACTCCCTGTGGAGCCGCTTGCATGTTTGTGCGTGGGATCCCAAAGTTACCCCAAATCTTTCTCCTGATGCTCAGAGTGAGGAGATGGGCCCAGGGCAGTGACCACAGTCGGGACTCGGTGGGATAGGGTTTGGACAGCGACCTCTGCTTTCCTCTCTAGCTGGGAGACTGGCATCTCTTTTGAGCTGCTGTACCTCCCTCTCTCTAGGGAGAGCCTGACTGCTCTTTTGGTTCAAAAGGGAATGGCTTAAGCAAATCTAACTTTAGGGAATTTGCCAAGCCAGGGTTAAGGAGCACACATCCAACGGGTTTGGAGTGGGGCTTTGAAAGAACAGCAAATGGCCCGGCTGCTGCTCTCTTGTTCCTCCCTGAAGCCTGAGCTCTGCCCAGCTAGTGAAGGACAAAGCGGGTGCTTTCAGCCTCTGTAAATAGCCTATTGTACAAGGGGAGGAGGCGGGGCACGGAATGGCAGCATCTTGCCAGCTTGGGTTGCTGCGTTAAGGAAAGATGTCAGGCTTTCTTAATTTGCCACTGCCGGGGCAAGGGTGCAGTTTATGTGGGTTTGTTTGAGGGCTGCATTCCTAGTGAAGTGTTCCATCAGATTGCCATTATTCATCTTAATGAAAGCTTGAGGAGCTTTAGAAGGAGAGAAACATTCAGACCACCCGGTTTTTGGTTTCTAAATGACATGAAGAGAATACAATGTTAATGTAAGTAGAAGTTTGCAGAATTGCAGGGGTAGTGTGTGTGTGTGTGTGTGTGTGTCCTCGAGAAAATGATGTCCTTGTGAGTCACCTCTGGCCCTGAGCCACTATTTTCATGGTACAAATAAAAAGGTGAAGAGGTGAACCTTTGTGTATAGTAGGCCTCGCACCCACGTGTTTGGAGGCCGGGGTGATGGGATCCATGCTAACGTTTATGTAAGACGTTGAGCATTCAGATGGACCTCAGTACAGAGCTCTCATAATACCTGGGAGTGTGAGTACTGGAAGGACTTTAGAAACCTGACCTCATGGTTCCTAACCTGGGTTGGGCTAAAGGAGACTGTGGTAATTATGTGTATTCTCGGGGGAGAGGGTCAGTGGCTTAGCGTAGTTTAAGAATTATTAGCATAGGTAGGATTTGGAGTCACATTGTTTGGTGTCCCGTTCTTGACCAACATCCTGGGGAAGCCTTATAAGTCTCTGGCCCTGGTTTCCTCCTCATCAGTTTGCGTTTGTGATGTTCAGATAAGACACTGGATGTGAAAGCCTTTCCAAAACACTAAGGAAATGCTAATTGCATGTTTAGTTCTTCTGTCCGAAGTTTGGTAGACTTTCTGTTTTCTGACAGTCATGCAGTTCAGTTTCCATCACCCTGCCTCGCTGTGCCTGTCTCTGCCCAGGTCTATTTAAAGGAATCTTCTGTGCTGGATCTTTACACTGGGCTTGTGCCCAGATTTCCTTGGCCATTGTTACCTTCCCTGTCCTTCTGTGGTCTTAGACTTCAGGTTTGTAGGAAATTCAGAAAACCCAGCTGAGCAAACCCACCTGCTGTAAGGGTCGGGAGGAGGGTGCACAGGAGTGGCTGTGGAGGAAGGAGAAGCTGGCTGTCAGTAGCCTTGTGTGTTCCTGGCTGGGAAATACTGGCTCCTTGAGCCTTTAAGCCAATTGAATCATATTTTTGGCAAACTGCAGCATGATTTATATGCCCAGGCTATAAATTTCCTCAGATGTTTATGTGGAAATTTGATTTTGAAAGAATAAAGAAATATTCAAACCAGAACACTATTGGAATAAGAATAAAATCTGAGTTTTACCATTTGTTAGCAAGTGTATGAGTCTTAATCCTTCTTAGAGACCCCTTAGTCTAATGCTTACGTTCACATACAGCATTGAAAGGCTATTTATTGTGCCTGATTTTCCTTGGATGTAAGTCTGCCTCCATTTTTAAATACCCCAAGTGCCTTTTCCTTAATAGCAGTTAAATAGAAGGAAAAAGATTTGTAATGCTATCAGTGTCGGTTTAAGAGTTGTTCTTCACACAGATCTAAATGAGCCGTTGTCTTAGTTCTTTATGCATAGACTATAGTTTTCCTGTGTATAGCATTAATCAGTTGGTTCAGTGAAGTTGGCTTGCAGCTTGTTACCTGGCTGCCATCTAAGAGGCATGAATTAAACTGCTATAGTTTGTCATTATCACCCACTAAATACAGGAATTTGGCTGGATTCAACCCTTAGTATTGTAGATTAGTATCTAATGAAATGCTCTTGTATACATGCTACTAAATATGTAATTTTCTCAAGTTTTTTTTTTTTTGAAGTGTTCTTAGATTTAATACACTTTCTTGGTATAATGCAGTGTATAGCATGGCTACTGCTGATGCTTAAAATAGACGAATTAATCACCTGTGTCTGATCGTATTTGTTTACAGAGGAATTATTTAATATTCTCACTCAGGGATGTGATTCTGTTGAACAGCACCTGCAAATTCACACAATCTAGGTTTTATGGAGTTACTGTAGGAGCTCTGGGGAGAGAAGAGAGAAAGGCATGGCAGTGTGTGTCAAGGGTGAGTACTTCCTCTTCAGACCTGGAGCGCTACAGGGTGATGAAGACAACTAGAGGTGGAAGGATTTGAGGGCAAAGCAAGTTTGCACATTATATTCCTAAGGCCGCTTTGAGGTTGTGGGGTTGCAATACTGTTTATGAAATCCGACCACTCAGTGTCAATCGGACATGGACTTGATTTGTCTGCTTATCCCACCTGGTGTACATCGCTTCCTCAGAAAGGCCTTCCCCAGTGCCTTGCAGACATTGCTTGTTTGATTTTTATCTTCCCTGCTAGAAGGTTAGCCCATTGAAAGCCTAGACCAGGTCATCAGCACTGTCTTCCCAGCGCCCGGCCAAAGCCTGGCTCACACTAGGTGCTCAGATACGCAGAGTGACAGGAGTAGCTCAATTCCTATGTATTCGTCTAGAATACATCTGCTGTCAGCATGCTCTGGGCAATCGGTTTCTTTCTTGGTATGCCTTACCTTGGTTGGACATACCCCCCAGCATCCTATCCTTCATTTCAGTGGTTTAAAAAATATATGCCCATTGTCTCTTATTGGGAAGCTGAGCAGAAAGAAAACAGTGTCTGTTTTCAGAACCGGTCCTGGCAGCAACACTCACTGATGCCTGTCCCTGCCCATGGGTGGAGCAGTGGGGTGACTCTGCTGCTGGCTGCCCATTGGCCTATTCTCCGCCCTCTGCTCTCCTGAGAAGTCAAGTGTGGATTTTGTCTGCTAGTTACCTTTAGCCCAGTGGGCAGCAGCGTGGGGCTCGGCATGTGACTTATGCCCTGAGAGACCTTGGCAGGCTGGGGGAGCGCGGCTGAGCCCTGCTAACCACCCCCCACCCCCAGGCTCACTGCCCTCTTCTGTGTCTGCAGTGGGGTGTCACCTAGCAGTCAGCTGTTGGTGGCACAGATGGTGAGTGGTTTTGGACGTGCTGGTGCCTTCTTTCCAGAATCGTGGCCTGAAGAACTCTGCTTATCTGTTCTTTCTTTGCTGTCATGGTAAACCTTGAAATTTCGTGTGTGTGTGTGTGTGTGTGTGTGTGTGTGTGTACACTTACACAGATTCATTGTAGCAAAGATTGAATGAGCAGAGCAAATACATTAGGTTGGTTCTGGTAGTATTAATGGCCTGTAAAACAGGGACTATTAAATTTAAAATTAATTTCATTTAAATTTAAATTTTAGCAGAAAATTTCTGTATTTTAACAAAGAAAAAGAAATGCGCATCAAAACCACAGTGCGTTTCTCTGATGGCCAGTGATGATGAGCATTTTTTCATGTGTGTGTTGGCTGTATGAATGTCTTCTTTTGAGAAGCGTCTGTTCATATCCTTTGCCCACTTTTTGATGGGGTTGATTTTTTCTTGTAAATTTGTTTGGGTTCTTTGTAGATTCTGGATATTAGCCCTTTGTCAGATGGGTAGATTGCAAAAACTTTGTCCCATTCTGTAGGTTGCCTGTTCGCTCTGATGGTAGTTTCTTTTGCCGTGCAGAAGCTTCTTAATTTTATCTGAACACTCCTTGTAGGCAGTGTTTTTACCTGCATGCCTTACTTGTTCTGCACTCAGGATGAACCACAGAGCGTTGGTAGAGGAAATAATCATAACATCTAACATTTTTGAGCACTTTCTAACGTGTGTGAGATCATTCTTACCTCTTTACTTGAGTCATTTAGCAGTCGGAAAAGCCCTACGGGATAAGGTGCTATTTCCAGCTCCTTTTACAGATAAGGAAACTGAGGCACATGGAGGTGAGGTCATTTGTCCCATATCATACAGCTCATACGCTGGGGAGGCAGAATTTGGCTCTAGTATCTAGCATTTAGGGTCTTTTTTTTTTTTCTTTTTTGAGACGGAGTCTCACTTTGTCGCCCAGATTGGTGAGCAGTAGCTCACTGCAACCCTTTGTCTCCTGGGTTCAAGCGATTCTCCTGCCTCAGCCTTCTGGGTAGCTGAGATTACAGGTGCCCACCACCACACCCAGCTAATTTTTATATTTTTTGAAGAGATGGAGTTTCACCATGTTGGCCAGGCTGATCTCGAACTCTTGACCTCGAGTGATCTGCCCGCCTCAGCCTCCCAAAGTGCTGGGATTACAGGCATGAGCTACCGCGCCCGGCTGCATCTAGGATCTTAAATACTATTCTCTACTTTCTCTCAAACACTGTGCTGTATTCCCTCTTTAGACATCTGGTGATCGGTTTAAAGTTTATGCACACCAATTTATCTGTTGTTTCTTTTGGCTATAATGTCTTGGGGAGTGTAAAAGAAACTGATCTTACCAGAATAGGCAGCTATGGGTTTCCCAGCATTTATTTGGACACCGTAGTGGTGTGAAGCGTACAGGAAGGTGAAAGTTAGATTGGTGTGTTTAACCAGTTTGGGAACTTGTTCTGAGATTGTTGGAAGAAATAGAAACTGACGGCCCTTAGGTGGTTTGGGCTTGTTCTTCCTCTTCACTCACATTCCCATGAGCCTTGACAATGAGAGTCGAGTGTTTTTGATTAGGTGGACGGACAAGAGCAGAGACATAATAGCAAAGAAGAAAACAGAAACTTAAATCTACGTATTTGAGTTTTTATGGGAAGAATTCTTCATGAGTAAAATCTTTTTAATATAATTAATGAAAGGAAGAGAATGGGGTTTTTTTCAAGACAAGACAATGGAGAAATAGAATGAAAATGAAATCCTAAAGTGTTTTTAGAAAAATGACACTTGACAGCCAGGAAAAGACCTGGACCATTAGATTGTGGGTTTAATGCCTGGACTGGCCGAGCAGCTACCCAATTAGATGGCTGGCCTTTGGGAATTCTGGAGTTCTGGAGAGGAGTCCTGCTTCCCTGGAATGAACATGACATTTTTCTCTTCCAACAGAATTCAGCTTAGAGAACTATCAACACAGGACAATGCAGGCCCACGAGTTGTTCCGGTATTTTCGAATGCCAGAGCTGGTTGACTTCCGACAGTACGTGCGTACTCTTCCGACCAACACGCTTATGGGCTTCGGAGCTTTTGCAGCACTCACCACTTTCTGGTACGCCACGAGACCCAAAGCCCTGAAGCCACCATGTGACCTCTCCATGCAGTCGGTGGAAGTGGCGGTGAGTGGAGGGCCCAGCCTGCTTCGTGTGTTTTCTCTGCATTTCCCCAGATGAGCTAAGCCCTGTTGAATGTTATATCGATCAAGATCACAATCACAATCAAATATCTGTTTATAAGTACACTTTATAAATGGAAATGTGCCAAACAAACAAATGACTAATGGTGGTAACCAGAGGTACAGGGCAAAATGTAGGCACAGGGAGAGATGAGAGGGTGTTGGTTGGGTGTCTACCTTCAGTCACATGGAAGATCATTCTAGAAATCACATTGAGTTTCTACCCTGTAGTAAGCATTGTAGTCAGCCTGGAGGATTCCACAAGGAAAAAGACAGCACAGAACCTCTGTTCTCCCAGGGGTTAGATTCCGGCAGGAATGAGAGTTTTCAAACAAACGTTACCAAAAGAATGCGCTTGTGGTGCGTCTGACACTTAGAACACAACCCCAGGCTGCTGGGAGGGACTCTGGGATTTCACACAGGATAGGGCTGGAGTAAGAACTTGACGGAAGAACATGGCTGCAGAATTCAGGGCAGGACATGAAGAAACAACCCTCAAGAGGCGCGTCTGGCTGGGTTGCTGAGTGCTGTGGTTGTGTGTGACTTGGGCAGACTGGAGGCTGTGCTCTCATGTTAGGAAAATGAAACTGGAACGCAGGCGATGAGGGCTTAATAGGTGGGATGGTGTAAGGAAACCTTAGGATCCTTTCAGGAAGATTCTTAGTGCTCCTGCTCTCCCTGCCTTCCCTAGTGAGAAAGGCGGGGTGTGGAGAAGGTGAAGAGGCCACATGCTCACTGGTGCTTCCACTCCTCACCTGTTCTTTGGTTTTCTCTGTGGTCGCTTGCTTTCCTCTACCCAAGTCAGTCACCCTTCAGTGTTTCCCGCATTCAGCAGATATGCAGAAGAACATTGTGAAACCCAGAATCCCCCCAGTTACTGCTTCCAGATGGAAGGGATGGAAGGCCTTCCCCACCCTCCCGGGCCGACCGCCGCAGAGGGAGCGCGTGCCCCTCCACACACAGCCCTGGCTGGAGCCAGCCTTTTTGTTATTTATGGGATGCTAGTCTTTGTTTTGTTTTAGACAAGTTCTTGGATTCATTAATGTGAAACTCTTAAAATATATAAAAGATTCTTCAGTCTAATTCATACTGAAATATAAATATAGAATGACTGAACTACTGCTGAGAAAAGTTAACTTTCTGCTTGATTTCTATTTAGAAGGTCAGGGTACATTAATATTTCACCTCTGTTGATCACATAGGCTGGGGAAATGAGTGGAATCCCCCTTTTCCTAAGGGATTCCTGTGAGGTTCTAGCATTCCTTCTCTACTGGCAGAGCACCTGATGTATCACGGCAGCGCTGCCGTCTCTATGAAGAACTGTTGGCAAGTGCAGTGTTAAGACATGTATAACTTAGCAGTAACTGTAAGAAATGAGTAATTCCTATTGTATGAGAAATTGTGGGGGCACTTACATATGATTTTAAGACTTTAGCTTAGCATAAAGGCATTGTGCCTTCTTAAAATAATTACCTGTGTTCTCTATAGAACAATTTAAAACTTCAGATATGCAGCAAAAAATGAAAATCTATAATTTTACTGCCCAGGATAGAGGCTTCCTGATTTTTCTCTGTTTATAGAAATTGATTGAGCTCTGATTTTCAGAATTTGTGGGGCTGAGAAATAGATACTGAGCTTGCTTTGCCTTTTTAAAAAAGAAGTTAAAATTTTACATTTAAAAGTAGCTCTGGAATTATGGTGCTTAATAATTACAGATGCTTTGATGTAGCTAGCATCATCCTACGGACATCTAGGGCAGGAAAAGAGGAACTTGATTCACTTCAAGAGGTACCGGTGAAGAGCCTGTGCTGCTGGCACTGCTGCGGGGCTGGTGGCCGGAGCGGAATATTGTGGCTGTGTTCCTACTTTGAAAACAAGTAAGCAGGGTTTGCAGTTCCCACCCTCACTCCGCACCCCCATCTCACACGCACAGTTTTTATCACCCTCCTCGTCCTGTAGAGTTTCCATGGATAATAAAATGAGAAGAATCCGCACTTTTTGGTTTGGCCACTTCTCATCACAGTCCACGCCGGCTGTTTCCCAGCTAGTGATTTTTAAGGCAGTAGCACAAAGGTTCTTTGTAAGTTACACCTTCTGAAATTTCCTTTTAAAAATCAGGATTGTAGGGCTGGGTGCAGTGGCCACATGACTGTAATCCCAGCACTTTGGGAGGCCGAGGTGAGAGGACTGCTTGAGGCCGGGATTTTGAGACCAGCCTGGGCAACATAGCAAGGCCTCATCTCTATAAATTGTTTTATTTTAATTAGTCGGGTGTGGTGGCTCATGCCTGTAGTCCCAGCAACTCAGGTGACTGAAGTGGACGAATCGTTTGAACCCAGGAGTTGGAGGCTGCGGTGAGCTATGACTGTGCCACTGTACTCCAGCCTGGGCAACAGAGTGAGACCTTGTCTCTAAGAAAAATATAACTCAGGGTTGTAAAGAAGAGGTTAACACTCGTGCTGGTGATCTCTAATGAAGACCTAAATTAGAGAACAGGACAGACAAGCTGGGTTAGGAACAGAATCCAAAAAGTGTTTCCTAAGTGTTGGAGCCTGGACTGATCAGGGCCCTGTCTGCAGAACCATGTCCTTGTGTCTGTAGTGGCAGCTCACAGTCGTAACTGTGACTCCCTGCGTGCCAAGGAAGAACTTCCATCTTCTGAAGGATTTTGCTGCTGCTGCTCTGTGACTTTGAGCAGTGGATGGAAGCAGATTTTGTGGGTTTGGTTTGTTTTTACGTCACCGTCACAGATAATGCAAGATTTCCGGGGTTAGCCTGTGTTCCGGTTTAGCCTGGCTAAATGTGTCAGCCTGTTCTCCGAGATTGAAGCTCCATGGCCCCCTAGTGAAAACCGTCTTCACTGGAGTGACTGGAAACCTTTTGGGATCGGTCAGAGTCCAGACACACGTGGTTCTGTTAAGCAAAGTACAGGAGCATGTTGGAGTGGAAAGGGACCAGGGAAAAGAGGGAGGGGGCAGACGTGGGACTGGACACCAACTTAGACCAGGCAGCCTTGGGCAAGTTCACCAGGCTTTTCTGACCTTCAGATTCCTCATGTGGAAAACAGAAGTGACAGTACCTTTCCTCCTTCAGTGTTGCTAAGAGGACTGAGTAGTTATGCAATGTCTGCTTGGCCCACAATAAGTATGTAGCAATTGTTTTTTCCCTTTCTCTTTTCCCTTCATATTTTATACACAAGAAAACTGAGTCCAAAGAGGTAAAACTGTATCATACAGTTAGTAGAAGGTCCAGAACTCTGTTTTGCTGCCTTCATTATAGTAGTAGAAAGTTGTATATTGTAACTAGGGCTTTGGGGAAGGGGGCAGTAAACCAGGATAATAAGGAAAGTTTGGATCTGTCCAGATCAATGTGAAGAGTCAGTGAACTGAGCCTCTGAACCCAGGAGCAGGCTTGTTTGTTTATTTGGAGACAGGGTCTTGCTCTGTTGTCCAGGCTGGAGTGCATTGGTGTGGTCATAGCTTACTACAGCCTCAAACTCCTGGGCTCAAGCTATACTCTCACCTCTAACTCCAGAGTAGCTAGGACTATAGGCATGCAACACCACGCCTGGCTAATTAAAAAAATTTTTTTTTAGAGATGAGGTCTTGTTGTGTTAGTCTCAAACTAACGCAAACTAACTAGCTTGTGCCAGGCTAGTCTCAAACTCCTGGGCTCAAGCAAGCCTTCCTCCTTGACCTCCCAAAGTGTTGGGATTACAGGTGTGAGCCACAGCACCTGGTCTAGAGCAGTCTGTTTTGAAAATGGCTATGCAGACAAATGAGTCTAAAGGTATTGATGGAAATGGATGGAGCCAAAGGACAGGTAAAATAAAAACAGAGTCTAGGTTCTGTTGGGTATAGGATCAGAAATTGTCAAGAATCGGGCAGTGGGCTGGGCACAGTGGCTCACGCCTGTAATCCTAGCACTTTGGGAGGCCAAGGTGGGTGGATCACCTGGGGTTAGGAGTTCAAGACCCGCCTGACCAATATGGTGAAACCCTGTCTCTACTAAAAATACAAAAATTAGCCAGGTGTGGTGGCGTGCGCCTGTAATCCCAGCTACTCGGGAGGCTGAGACAGGGGAATTGCTTGAACCTGGGAGGTGGAGGTTGCAGTGAACCGAGATTGCGCCACTGCGCTCCAGCCTGGGCGACAGAGAGAGACTCCATCTCAAAAAATAAATAAATAAATAAATAAATAATAAAAAATAAAGAATCGGGAATGGTGAGGACTGCTATGAAAGGGGCACAGGACTGTGAAAACTGGAGTGGTTCTGCCCTTCCCTCATCCTCTATCCCTGAACCAGGTCAGACATAGGTGGAGTCAGAGCAGAACTTGGTGTTGATGCGGCTTCAGGTCCACCTATCAGAGTTTGCGAGATTTAGGCCATGAACCATTATGAATATAGATGAGAACCTGTGTAATTGCTGAAGGAGGTAGTGTGTGCAAGACCTGCTGCTCCCAGTTAGTACGGACCCCTGTGACATTCACAGAAGCTCAGAATGTCTGAGATGCTCTGGAAGCTACCTTATCTGCGTCTGCAGCTACAACTCCAATGATCACATTCAGTGCTGCGCTGGCACAGCCAGCCTGGCCCTGCTCTGGATTGGAGGCATCCTCAAGGGCTGCTTCCTGTGGAAGCAGTTTCGCTGGACTGCAGGGAGCCCCTGGAATTTTGGATACTGGGCCTTGGGGTCACTTGGGAATGGGAATGACTGTTGTGTGGCCCTGTTTGCCAGAGGGGGCCGTTGGTGATGAGCCCCATGCAAGTGGCACCTGCCCTTCGCCTGCTCATTCTGAGCCAGTGAGACGGAGACCCTCCAGAGAGAGTATGTGAGTTACTCTCCTTGTGAGACAGGTGGTACGGGCATTGAGATGACTGACTTGTCAAATTAGTTCGGAAAGATGTGTGACAACTACTACAAGATCATAATGTCCTTAAACA